GGCTTAAGCGTCCTCCTCTGTACCTTTGAAGTGAATAGGAGCCAGGCAGGGACTAGCTTGGTGTAAGCTCTCTGGCGGAATACCTGAGATTGGTGAGTTCGACGGATGTAATCACCTAGGCACCTTGACCAAAGGTTTCTGCCGAAGGGACCAGGGCCTGGAGGTAGCTTCGTGATCAAGTTATGAGAAACTTAGCTACGTTAAGGAGTTGATGACTCAGAGATATTTTGTCCTAATTAAGAGATAGACACCAACAAGACTTCTTGTCCAACAAGAAGTCTTTAACTCAGGTGTAACCTCAACTATAAAAGGGGCAGAATTTCATTACACAACACACATACACGCGTAAACTTACTCTCTCGACTTATTTTTGCTAGGCGTTGGGCTGACTTGAACATCGGAGTGTTATCCGACGGGACCTCTCTCGGTGTTTTGCAGATCGTCAGAGGCATCAAGACAGTTCAAACCAGCTAGGCGCGGTTCAACCAGTCGAAGTTCAATTTGTGCAGGCCCTTTCATGTTATTTTTAATTTATAATTACATAAAACTATAATTGTTATTATTTTTTTTTTATTAATTATTGAGGACCAGTACTAACTGGTTGACGGTATGTTCACATGCCAAATGGTAGATAGTGATAAGAAACCAAAATGTATGAAAATGAAAATCACGTGAAATGTGACTGTAGAGAAAATGAAATTCTGTAAATTCCCTGACAAGACGAAAGTTGTAAATTTCTAAACTCCTATGTATGAGGTTAGATTGCCATTTTATACTTCTATTTTTGTTTTTGTCTTTTTAGTTGCAATATTATGATGCAGCTATAGAACTATCGAATGGCTCGGCTTATGAAGTAATCGACACTTATTCACCAATATTGGCTTATGAAGTAATCGACACTTATTCACCAATATTGTATTGACACGTGTCCCACAATAAATATAATTTGAACAGGTATCAATATATTAAATGATGGATGACTATAAAAAAACGATCCGATGGTTCCATAGAATTTATGATATGCCTACTCACTCGCAGGGTCGCCAAAATCATATTTTCCGTTACAAAAATTGTCATTTTTAATGCTAATAAATGGGAATTAATGGAGATTATGCAATAAAACGAAAATTAAAGCATCATATTTTCACCTGTTGATGGGTACGAAAAAGAATCGTTACAGCTTTTTCCTTTGAGGTGTCTTTTTCATTTACACACTTGCAAAAACACTGCTATAATAAGATAAAATGAACTTATGTCGTCATCCTTAAAGTCAATCAAAAATTAACTATCCTCACATGAATGATTCTTATATATATTATTATTATTATTATTTTTGGTACAATATATTATTATTATTATGTACAAATGAATATTGCAATATATATATGTATATATCCATATTCTTCACTTTATTTTCACCCAAATGCCCTCACTAGGAACCTGTTGATGAACCACAAACAGAAGGTAGTAACCAGGCGGGGCAACATTACCCGAACCCGGCATCACGACCCGAACATCATACCCATTCCCGTTTGCCGTCACATTCCCACTGCTTAGTACCAAGAGCCTCTGATTCATCGAGAACGAGTGTGTGGTAAACGGCGGTGAAACCATCGTAACCATCACCTTATCACCATCGACCCGACCCGAGGGAACCGTAAAATGGATCCCAACCCGCTGCCCGTACCCGATTCGGGACTGCGAAACTGGCGAAACAATACGCGGGCGTATGCTCGTAAAACTCGAACTCAAATAGGCCGGCGAAAACGCTTCTAAACTGAGATCAGTAGGATACATAACGCCAGTAAAATTGTAATAAATATGCGGATTGCTGCCGCCGACCAAGACCCGCCCGTCCCGGAGCAAAACCGCGGTCGAGTGGTACATCCGGGGCACGGAGCTCGAGGCCTGCACCTCGAACCTCGACCCGAGTGAATTCCCGGGTCGGTAAATAACCGGCGTGAAGACCGGGTCGCGACCTGATTCCCAGCCGGCCGTACCCGACCCGGCCCCGTTTATAATCAAGACGTCCCCATTCGGGAGTAACACCATATCACCCATGACTCGTGGGCCCGGCATTGTCTCCACGACCCATTTCGGGTCGTGGTCGTCTATACGGATCCTGCCGCACGTGTTGAGGGCCCGCATGAAATTCCCGCTGGCGTACGCGCCCCTCGGTGCGCCGCCACACACCAGAATCTCGGGACCGGACCCGACCTGGAACGGGAGCAAAACCGCGGAGCCTGTGCTCGGGTAGCTCCGAGGGTCCCCGCCCGGGACGGGTGGGTAGGTTCGAACGACCGAGCCATGTACGTAGTCGAATAAAATGGAGCGATTGTTGGCGAAGATGAACAGATTGCCGTCCGTGTGGAGGAAGACGAACGGGTAGAGATTGTTCTCGATTTTGGGGTCATTGGTCTGGACGAGGAACGGAAGGTTGTAAGAGCGGGCAGCGGCGGGGGACGTTTTGGGGTAGAATTCGTAGTTGAACTGGCGGCGGCCGCCGACGATTATGTGGGAGCCATCTGGCAGGACGTGATTGGTGGCGTACCATCTTCTATTCGTGAGGCCAGGGTTGGTCTCGACCCAGTCGCATGGGGAACTCGTGCAGGTGGGGTCGTAGGTTCGGATGGCGTGGTCGCCGTCGTTGTAGCCGCCGGTCTGGATGAGGAGGCCGTCGGGGGAGAGGCCGCCGGAGGAGCACCAGGTGTCGGTGAGGACGGTGAGGGGGCGGACGGAGTTGCGGATGACGTCGTACTCGACGGAGTGGGCGGTGCAGTCGCGGGTGAGGGCGGTGTCGTTGGGGTCGGTGCGGCAGTGGCCGTCGGGGAGGGAGATGTTGGAGGGGCCGAAGTCGGTGCGGTCGAAGATGATGACGCGATCGGTGTGGAGGAGCTGCATGTGCATTGCCGAGATGCCGATGCTCGGGAGGAGGAGGTCGAATCGGCCGGCGGCGGCGGCGGCGAGGGTGAGGGTGTGGAGGAGGAGGAGGAGGGAAGAGAGAATCGGAGGCGGGGCCATGGGTTTGAGTTTGGTGGGAGATTTAATTGTATTTTGGGTGTATGTGTGTGTTGCTTTAAATGGTGTGGAGGTGAGGTTGCAGGTATCTGACATGGGAAGTCACCACAGGGAATTAAACGCATCGGACTTTCTCTCTTTCACACACTGTGCATTGCATCTTGGTTTATTTTTTACTTTATTTTTTTTAAGTGATAAGCTATATTCGGTAAATCTATACGAGAATCTAGCTTATATTTTGATAAATTAGTTGACAGTTTATAAGTAAATTTCTAAAGATAATTTATAAATTTGAAAAATAACTAACATAATAAATATTTTCGATAAAAATTCGATTGAAATAAAAAATTTCAGTTCTTATCAAACACAATTTTAAGTTGAAACAAATAAATAATTTACTTTGTGTGGGGAAATTTAAATGTTTTCTGATTTTCGGTCTGATTTTTGGGCTTTTTAGTTAAAAGATCAATTTTCCATCAATTTGGTTCACATTTTCGAGTCAAAAACTGGAATTAATATCACAAACGGATTGGATCAAACCAAATTAGATTTGTAAAAGGTGAGTAAAAATCGGAATAGCTTGTGTGTAGCGTAGGATCTCTCAATTTTATTTATTTATCTTTTTTTTTGGGGTACGAAGGATCTCTCATTATAAAAAAAAAAAAATAAAAAAATAACCATATTTTCTTGCACTGTACACAAAATCCCCTTACCCCTTGTATATAAATCCATAACATGTTGAACTTAAGTGGGCAGAGCACTTCGTAATCTTACATGACAAAATATTTTTTTTTTTTAATATATGACTTGGATAAAAAATATTATTTTTTAATACCAAATAACTTAGGTTCGCATTACTATATATGCACATATTTAATATATTTAAATCATCACATATAAATCTATTTATTATCTTCTTTATATATGCATATAATCTTACTTTCCAAATTTTGTTCTTTGTTCATATTATTTTCTCATGTGTTTTAAATAAAAATATTATAAATAAAATTAATGATGTATATGAATTAGTTTTAAGGATTTAAAATAATATTGTTAATTCATTTACTTATTTATTATAAATTGTTATATTTTGATCTTTATTTATTTTTTCAACTTCAACAATTTTTTTTTTTTGTTTTTATTGTATATTTAACTATTTTATCAATTACCAATATATTATACGGGTATTGTACTAGCATACATTACACTTATTGATAACATCAACTCTATAATAATTGAAAGAGGTTGTTGTATTTATTGTTTTAGAATTTTTTATTTTTATTTTTTTTTTTGTCAAATCTTTTTGATTTTCCAATTTAAAAAATTCTGTAATTAATTTAACATACGTAGGT